CTTCATCAGCGGGTGATTAAAAACTGTTCTGTCACCGAAGCCTTCGTGATAGGAAGAGATGGCTGCAGCATACGTTTTAATTGTGCTGAACGCTAGATTTCTGTCCATCAGCTGCTGCAGAAAAGACAGCACGCCACCTACTGGACATGAGATGGCCTCTACATCTTTCTCTGTACACCAGCGTTGAAAAGCTGTCCAATTTGATGTGTACAGCGCTGTGGTGGAGGCAGCATGTGAATCCTGGATTGTGCGCACTACTTCTTGAGAGAGACCCATCTTCTCTAAGCAGATCCGTTCAGCGGCCAGACCCAAAGGTGCTGGCCTATTTCTGGGCGACTCCTGATCGCTCCTCCCGCCTGGAGGAGAGCATGCTCTCTCCACGGCAATTTCCACGGGCGACCCGATAACAGACGTCGCAGGATTGGAAACCACGGGGCGCTCACGCGCTCGGGATCTATCAGAATGGCTGACAGTTTTTCCTCCCGAACTCGGTTCAGAAACCGTGATATTAGAGGGACTGGGGGAAATGCATAAAGGAGAATTTTGGGCTACGGACTGTGGGCAACCACGTCCATTCCTAACGGTGGATCGTCCTTTGGGCTCAGTGAGAACCATAGTTGACACTGGGCGTTCTCCCGTGTGGCAAATAGGTCCACTTCTGCTCTGCCAAATTTCTCCCAGATCCAAGAAATCAGCTCGGGATAGAGACTCCAGTCCCCGTGGCGCGGACCGCCCCTGGACATTATGTCCGCTCCTCTGTTCAGGACACCGGGGATGTACACTGCTCTGATGGAGAGCAGGTTTTTGTGTGCCCAACACAGCAGCCACCTCGCAATGTGTAACATTTGGGCTGAGCGCACACCCCCCTGCCAGTTTATGTAAGCTGCAGTCATCTTGTTGTCTGTGTGAATCAGAACATGCTGATTCTGTAACACAGGAGCAAAATGTTGAATCACATTAAAAACCGTGAAACATTCCAAAATGTTTATATGAGCTGTTGTGTGAGGTGACCACAGCCCAAGTAAGCCCAACGGAACCACTGCGTAAGCTGATGACATTGTTCCTAACAGTTTCATGATGGAGACAGCTGTCACTACTCTGTTGTACTGGTACTGGGTCCCTTGGAAGGAGAAGCGCAGGAACTTTCTGTGTTTTTGAATGATTGGAATGTGAAAATAGGCGTCTTTTAGATTGATGGAGGTAAACCAGTCGTTTTGGTGAATGTTGTCTAACAGCTGTCTGGTTGTCAACATGTGAAACTGTCTCTCCATGATCGACTTGTTGAAAACGGATAAATCCAGGATGGGTCTCATTCCTCCAGTCCATTTCGAAACCAGGAAGTAACGTGAGTAAAACCCTGTGTTTTCCTCTCTGTTGGGAACCCTGAAAATTAAATTTTTTACAAGTAGTTCCTGAACTTCTGCGTGGAGGGACGAGATCTGTTCTGGAGATAACAGAACTGTCTCTATAATTCCTCTGAACGGTGGGGGTTGAGCTGCGAACTGTATCGTGTAACCCCTGCTGATAAGACAGTCCATCCATCTGTTCAGGGAGCACGCCTGCTGCCACCCCGCGTAATGCTCTGGGAGCGGGCACGCGTTTTTGTGTTGCGTCATGTCTTTTGCAGACATCAACCAAGTCAAGGCCTCCACCGCCATCATGTGCTGCAGAGACGTGCTCCGAGCGACCCAAGGGGAGGCCTTGCCGAAAGGGCCCTGGAAGCGCCTTTGTGCCGCGCTCAGGCTGCGGGTTTGCATCAGGGTTGATGTAAGCTAACGTGCGCTGAGGGGAGGCGCACGTGCCTTCAGCAATGCAACATCATTTAGGTGGAGGCTTCAGCTGCCGTGAGGAAACGCGTTTGTCCCCGCTGCGGTCAGACGAAGCAAAACGCAACCTGGGCCGAGAGCGAGGTTTTCTTCTGGACTCAGTCGGTTGAAAACATTCATTTTTAGCTGCTGTGTCAAGCGAGCATTTTGTGTGTTTTCTCAAGCTGCAGTGACTTTTAGAATCAGAATTCAGAATCAGTATAAAACTTTATTGGCATTGCACCGAGATACAATGCGAATATGTATGTACAGTCATCCGAAGATGGGCGGAGTGCAGAACCCTGTTTTGAGGTCACCGGCTCGTTATGTGTGGAGGATGTGTCAAGAGGAGCCGCTGTGAGATCATTTGAACTGACAGTCAGGTTGGAATCAGACACTTTATTCTCTGAATGATGTTTTTGTTTTATTTTAAAACTCATGTCATCATTGCACACACACACATCCTCCGCAAGGAGTCATTTTTTAAATCTTCTCCCCCGTGAGCCCTGCGGCTGGTTTTTCCAGGGCGGCGCCTGTTTGCGGTCTCTGGGGAAACGCTGAGCCGCTGGTTGCCGGGATGAGAAGGGCTGTTCTCTGGCGGGGGGGGGGGGGCTGTGGCGGAGCGGGGCGGGAGGACGCTGCTGCAGCTGTGGAGCATCTCTGCTGCTGCCTCTGGCCACGACGATCCCTCTAGCGGATGGTGGGGACAGGAGGAGGAGTGCGGCTTCATCAGGTGGCACACAGTCTCCGACACCTCCTCCGACTTCTTCGATTTTTCAAGCACGGCCTTGAAATTGGCTCTGAACAGCACATCCGTCGTGATGGGGCCCTCCAGCAAGCCTTTCTGCAGTTTCTCCAGCAAGAAGGGGGAGTGTCGGAGCCAGGTAGGCCTCTGGATCATTGTCATCTAAGCGGCGATGCGAGACAGGCAGACAGCAGTAGAGGCGCACAGGTTGAGGATGACGTCAGATGCCTTGCAGAGCCAGCTCTTTGTCTCTTCAGGCAGGTCAGTTTCCTCCAGCCTCTTGGAGATGCTGTAGGCCAGCAGAGCGACATTTTTGTTCGCTGCGGCCGCCTGGAACGCACACTGGTGGGCTCAGTTGGAGAGTGACGTCACCGTCTGGTTGTGTCTCCCTGGAGGAATAGGACGCTGGTCCAACCTGGACACTTTTGCTCCAAGTGCTTCCGCCAGGCTTGGTTCCAGGGGGGTACCGAGGGAAAATTCCGCTCAGTAAACCCCTCCACTCTGGTGATGGGAGTGAAGTTGGAGATGGGCGCTTTCAATTTACCATGTCTGGCTGCAGCCTCGTTCCAGTATGACATCACTGCTGGGAAACGAGGCCAGATGGGGCCAGGGCGGCGAGCCGGGGTGGAGCCAAACCTTCCCGCTAAATCATCCGATCTGGGCGGGGGGAGGAGAGGGACATAAAGTCCCTTCGTGTCAGCCGCCTCCAGGATTATGCCGGGTAGCTCCGAGAGGAGGGCACCAATGGCTGGGAGCGGTGTGGTCGTTGATGCGGAAAGGCCCGGGGGTGTGAGCGGATACAACACTACGCTACGCTACGGTGCTAGACATCGCGTTCTTGGAAGATCAGTGCTGGTTGCTTGCTGAAGAAAAATGGGGGCCGATTACCCGCTCTCAACGTAATTTATACGAACCGGGTGGGGCCCACACGACAGGTAGGCGTGGACTAAAGTTTTCAGTGCTACGCTTTGCGTGACGGGATAAAACCCACTAGCGAGGGCCTTAAAGGGCGAAGCCTATACGAAATAGAACTGTCCAGATGACCTGACTGAAAAATGTTGGATTTCTGTAACTGTTGATCAGTGCTGATCACCTTGGAGGACTTTTCTTCATTCCTCTGTACAGAACAGCTTCAACTCTGGATGTTGGTGGTTTCCTCACATGAACTGCTGCTTCAGGTCCTTCCACAACATCTGGATTGGATTAAGGTCAGGACTTTGACTTGTCCATTCCAAAGCATGAACTTTATTCTTCTTGAACATTCTTTGGTAGAACCACTTGTGTGTTTAGGGTCATTGTGTTGCTGCATGACCCTGGACCTTCTCTTAGATCCAGTTCATGGACAGATATTCTAACATCTTCCTTTAGAATTCTCTGATATAATTCAGAATTCATTGTTCCATCAATGATGACAAGTTGTCCTGGTCCAGATGTATCAAGACAGGCCCAAACCATGATACTACCTCCATCATGTTTCTCAGATGGGATCAGGTTCTTCTGCAGGAACGCAGAGTTTTCTTTCTCCAAACATAACTCTTTTCATTTAAACCAAAAAGTTTATTTTAGTCTCATCCGTCCACAAAACATTCTTCCAACAGTCTTCTGTCTTGTCCACGTGATCTTTATCAAACTGCAGATGAGCACCCATGTTGTTTTTGGAGAGCAGTGTTTTTCTCCTTCAACCTGCCATGAACCATTGTTGTTCAGAGTTCTCCTGATGGTGGACTCATGAACATCAACATGAATCAATGTGAGAGAGACCTTCAGTTGTTAGAAATTACCCTGAGGCCCTCTGTGACCTCACAGACTATTCCACACCTTGGAGTGATGTTTGTTGGTCTACCACTCCTGGGGAGAGTAACGATGGTCTTGAACTTCCTCCATTTGTTCACAATCTGTGTGACTGTGGATTGGTGGAGTCCAAACTCTTTACAGATGTTCTGTAACCTTCTCCAGTCTGATGAGCATCAACAACTCTTTTTCTGAACTCCTCAGAAATGTCCTTTGTTCCTCCATGATCCACTTCCACAAACTTGTTGAGAAGATCAGACTTTTTGATAGATCCTGTTCTTTAAATCAAACAGGGTGTCCACTCACACCTGATCATCATCCACTGACTGAAAACACCTGACTCTAATTTCACCTTCAGATTAACTGATAATCCTAGAGGTTCACTTACTTTTACCATCACAAATATATAATATTGAATTCCTCAATAAATAAATGATCAAGTTTAATATTTTGTCTCATTTGTTTAACTGGGTTCTCTTTATCTAATTTTAGGACTGCTGTGAACATCTGATGATGTTTTAGGTCATATTATGCAGAAATATAGAAAATTATAAAGAGTTCACAAACTTTCAAGTTTCTGTAGATACAGATATAATGTTAATTGTTCATTAACATTCCTCCCACTTCAAAATATCTGACCTATTGCTTCAAGTGCTCACCTCTAAGCTCAGTAGCAGCAGTGCAGTTGGATGAAGCCTTCCAGCGATCCTGGCGCTTCTTCAATTCCTGCACTTGGCACAGGTAGAGTCCCCGGTCCCACTCAGACACATTCAAGATGAGCAGCTCAAAGATCTTACCCTGCTTCACAACAGTCAGCCTAAACTTGGTCCACTGGAAACTCTTTGTATAGTTTCCATAAAAACGGGCTTTCCTCATGTTGATGCGAGCAATGAGGATTTCATCCTCTAGTCGATCCGTGCTTGCTGGTAGAAAGGCCCACTTAACTACTGGTAACGCTGTGTTGCGGCGCCGCTGCGACACAGTACAGGTAAGAGTGATATTCTGAGCCTCCTGGGCAACTGTGAAAGGTGAAGGAGTGATGGTGGCGTTTATGGCCAAACATAAATCTGGAGAAACAAAACAGATATAAATGAGAGGCCCAACATTCGCCTGCCTCTAGATCATCTTATGAGAAATTATGCAGTTGAAACATCTGTCATTTATTTCCAATGAGAAAGACCAACTTTAAATAGAAGAGATCACAGGTTACAGATTTATAAAACCTATAATGTCACATTAAGCCTGAAACTCAATCCTTGTACACAGAACAAAAATATAAACACAACACCTCTGAGTATTTTCTCACTCAGTTTGGTTACAATGACAAACTGCAGTCAGGTGGAGACCCCGACAAGCATGACGAGCACGCAGAGCACGCAGAACACGCAGATGAGCTTCTGAGATGGTTCGTGCAGAAATTCTTTGGTAATGCAAACAGATTGTTGCAGCAGCTGTCAGGATGGTTGGACTCAGATTATCTTGGAGGTGAAGATGCTGGATGTGGAGGTCCTGGGCTGCTGTGGTTACACATAATCTGTGGTTGTGAGGCAGGTTTGATGTACTGCCAAATTCTCTGAAGCACCTTTGGTAAAGAAATTAACATTCAATTCATGGGCAGCAACTCTGGTGGACATTCCTGCACTCAGCATGCCAACAGCATCCTCCATCAAAACTTGTGACATTTCTGTCATTGTGCTGTGATAAAAATGCACATTTTAGAGTGGCCTTTTGTTGTGGTCAGCCTAAGGAATACCTGTGCAACAATCATGCTGTCTAATCAGCATCTTGATATGTCACACCTGTATTTGAGAGAAAGAGTCCTGTTGTGTTCATATAAAACATCTTAGACCTTTGAGTTCAGCTCATGAAAAATAGGAGCAAAAACAAAAGTGTTGTGTTTATATTTTTGTTAAACAAATAAATGCCATCTATCCATTTTCTTCCGCTTATCCGGGGTCGGGTTGCGGGGGTAGCAGCCTAAGTAGGGAGGCCCAGACTTCCTTCTCCCCAGCCACTTGGGCCAGCTCTTCCGGGGGAATCCCGAGACGTTCCCTGGCCAGCCGAGAAACATAGTCCCTCCAGCGTGTCCTGGATCTTCCTCTGGGCCTCCTTCCATTGGGACGTGTCCGGAAAATCCTCACCAGGGAGGCGTCCAGAAGGCATCCTAAACAGATGCCCAAGCCACCTCAATTGGCTCCTCTCGACGTGGAGAAGCAGCGGCTCTACTCTGAGTCCCTCCCGGATGATCGAGCTTCTCACCCTGTCTCTAAGGGAGAGCCCAGACACCCTGCGGAGAAAACTCATTTTGGCCGCTTGTATCCGAGATCTCATTCTTTCGGTCACAACCCAAAGCTCGTGACCATAGATGAGGGTAGGAACGTAGATCGATCGGTAAATTGAGAGCTTCGCCTTTTGACTCAGCTCTCTCTTCACCACGACAGACCTGTACAGCGCCCGCTTCACTGCAGATGCTGCACCTATCCGCCTATCGATCTCACGCTCCATTTTTCCCTCATTCGTGAACAAGACCCCAAGATACTTGAACTCCTCCACTTGGGGTAGGACCTCCTCCCTGACCTGGAGAGGGCACTCTACCCTTTTCCGGCTCAAGACCATGGCCTCGGATTTGGAGGAACTGATCTTCATCCCGGCCGCGTCGCATTCGGCTGCGAACCGCTCCAGCGAAAGCTGTAGATCACGATCTGATGAAGCCAATAAGACCACATCATCTGCAAAAAGCAGAAATGCAATCCTAAGGCCACCAAAACGGATCCCCTCAACACCTTGGCTGCGCCTAGAAATTCTGTCCATAAAAGTTATGAACAGAATCGGTGACAAAGGGCAACCTTGGCGGAGTCCAACTCTCACTGGGAGCAAGCCCGACTTACTGCCGACGATGCGGACCAGGCTCTGACACCGGTCATACAGGGACCTAACAGCCCGTATCAAAGGGCCCGGTACCCCATACTCCCAGAGTACCCCACACAGGGACCCCCGAGGGACGCGGTCGAACGCCTTCTCCAAGTCCACAAAGCACATGTAGACTGGTTGGGCAAACTCCCACGCACCCTCCAGGACCCTGCTGAGAGTGTAGAGCTGGTCCAGTATTCCACGGCCAGGACGAAAACCGCACTGCTCCTCCTGAATCCGAGGTTCGACTATCCGACGGACCCTCCTCTCCAGAACCCCTGAATAGACCTTACCAGGGAGGCTTAAGAGCGTGATTCCCCTGTAGTTGGAACACACTCTACGATCCCCCTTTTTGAATAGGGGGACCACCACCCCGGTCTGCCAATCCAGGGGAACTTCCCCCGATGTCCACGCAATATTGCAGAGTCGCGTAAGCCAACACAACCCTACAACATCCAGAGCCCTAAGGAACTCTGGGCGAATCTCATCCACCCCCGTGGCCCTGCCACCGAGGAGCTTTTTAACCACCTCGGTGACCTCAGCACCAGAGATTGGAGGGCCCGACCCAGAGTTCCCAGGCTCCGCTTCCTCAGTGGAAGACGTGCTGGTGGGATTGAGGAGGTCTTCAAAGTATTCCGCCCACCGACCCACAACATCCCGAGTTGAGGTCAGCAGCACAGCACCCCCACTATAAACCGTGTTGGTGGAATACCGCTTTCCCCCCTGAGATGCCGGATGGTGGACCAGAATCGCCTCGAAGCCGTGCGGAAGTCGTTCTCCATGGCCTCTCCGAACTCCTCCCATGCCCGAGTTTTTGCCTCAGCAACCACCTGAGCCGCATGTCGCTTGGACTGCCGGTAGCTGCTTCCGGGGTCCCACAGGCCAAAAAGGCCCGACAGGACTCCTTCTTCAGCCTGACAGCATCCCTCACCGACGGTGTCCACCATCAGGTTCGAGGGTTGCCGCCACGACAGGCACCGACAACCTTGCCGCCGCAGCTCCGGTAAGCCACCTCAACGCTTTAAGCTATACAAGGTTGCCAGATAAGAAATGATTAACTTATGTAGGTGTCAATTAAAGTTACTGTATTTTGACACATGCTGTCAAATGTGCTGAGTAAGGGTGTTGTAAGATCAGGTGTTGTGTGTGGTGAAAATGTGCTCAGGAAGAAAAAGGCAAAAAACATATTTATGTTTATCTGACAACCCTGATGCTGGACTCAGCTACATGCATCGCGCGTGAGGTGTCAGCATAATCAAAGTTACATCAAAACTGGTGAATACAGGAAAGTTTCTTTGGACCAAGGATGTTGTTGGCTTTGCTCCTACATGCTGAAAAATAATGAGTAGTACAAACTAGTGTTGTAGTACTCGAGACCGGTCTTGGTCTCGAGACCGGTCTCGAGACCACTTTTTGACGGTCTCGGTCTCGTCTCGGTCTCGACCGCATTTGGTCTCGGTCTTGTCACGGTCTCGGACATTGAGGACTCGGGATTTTTTTTCAAGACCAGTCAAGACCACAACTGTGAAAATATCACTAAATTGCCAGAATATTGTCCAGTTTATTTGTTAACATCTTTGCTTTTACTGGATGCAAAACATACCGATTCAAATTCAAGCGATAACGTGACTCATAGCAGCTAGCTACATGTTTTTGTTACCACTCCAGTGTTGCCAGATTGGGTGGTTTACTGCCAATTGGCCAGTTTTCGTTCTGATTTTGCTGGGAACTCTGGGAAGATTTTTGTTGGACTGTTCCGTTTTGCCACATATTGTTAAATTACCTTGGCTTGTACTGATGTGGGTTTGTGTTCAAAAAGTAAATATACTGTAACAAATATAGATTGTGCAGGTTTTTGTGTGATGTTGCGGTTTTTAACCGATTTTTTGCTGGAAAATCTCGACTCTATCTGGCAACACCGAGCCCACCTCCTTTCACTCGCAAGCGTCAGGGAAGAAAAGTTAGACTTGTTTGTGTTTAGAACAAGAGAAGATGTCTTCTAAATCTGCTGTTATAAAGTTTGGCTATTTGAGTCACAAAGAGTATGTTTGCAAAACAACTCTGAAAAAAAAGCACACGGCGCAATGCAAGTTCTGCAGCGCTTCACTTTCGGAGACTGTCGGGACTACATCCAACTTTTATCGACACCTGGAAAGGAAGCACAAAGAAAGGTAAGCGCCGCAGCTTTGTGTAAGTGATGCTAGTAAAGCTAGCTAGTTAACGTTATCAATCTGCCTCTCTTCCAAGAACAATACAAACAGAACGTTTTATCAAGTATGGTTTATTTGTCATATGCAAAATCAACACAAGGTCGACAACAATGCAGTGAATTGCTTAGGACGAGAAAAACAGTCGACTCGCCAAAAACAAACAAAAAAATAACAACAACAAATACCAAAGCATGCATCACAAATACTAAAATAAGGGACAAAAATTTGAAAAAGTAATTCATCGACATTAAATCTAAATACATCTAAATTAATTAATGTGTGTCAGACTCAGACCCGCTTTGTTTAGCCCTTAAATGAGTTTTACTTTATAACACTGATATAATTAACATATTAAGGGAAGTAAGCAAATTCACTGTTTACATACAGTTAAATCAGGTCCTCTGAGTGTGTGTTAAAAGAAAAAAAGTAGAATATTATCTGCACAGCTTTTTTCTACCTTTTTTTTTCTTTTAACACTCCCAGAGGACCTGATTTAACTTTTTTAAATTTTTCTACCTGGGTTATTGAGCATGCATAAGGACAAATTCACTGTTAACTTTGAGAGACTGAGGGGACAGGGCATGTGGTAACAAAATGTAGAAACGTTTCATCTCTCATCCAAAAGACTACTTGACTTCTTAACAAAAGACTTCATTGTAAGAGGGACTGTCTTCTTCTTACATCGCTGATATTGCTAGTATCACTCAGCCCCCTGTGAATAGCAAGCAACCATCAGGGTGCCAACGATTCATTGTTAGGCTGATGGTCTCCCTTAACATATTTGGCAAACTGGTTGATCCACTGTGAGAAGGTACTAACTGTGTTTAATATGTCCTGATGCATGCTCAATCACACAGGTAGAAAAATCTTAAAAAGTTAAATCAGGTCCTCTGGGCGTGTTAAAAAAGTAAAAATAAAAGGTAGAAACATTTCGTCTTTCGTCCGAAAGACTTCCTCAGGCTGAGGAGCTGCATTCAGCTCAGCCCTATAAATAGTGCCTCCTCACAGTGGACCAACCGTTTGTTGTTGATGAAACTAGCTGCTCACATGTTCAAGGAGGACCATCAGCCTAATGATGGATTGTTAGTACTCTGATGGCTGCTTGCCTTCACCGGGGGCTGAGTGATACTAGCAATCACAGCATTGTAAGAGGGGGACAGTTGAACCCGGAGGCCTCCACCTCTGTTTAAAGATGGATGGTTTCTTTTCACAAAGATGGCCTCCTTTACTCCTCTCTCAAACCATTGTTCCTCTCTGTCAAGGATGTGAACATCTTCATCCCTGAAAGAGTGACCGCTGGTCTGGAGATGAGTGTAAACCGCAGAGTCTTGGCCTGAAAATGTAGCTCTTGAGTTTAATATAGCTCCTCATATTGAAGAAGTCTTTTGGATGAAAGACAAAACATTTGTATAATTTTTTATTGTTTAAACCCATCCAGAGGACCCAATTTAACTTTGTTAGATTTTTCTAAGTTTAATTTTTGCTTATGATAAACAATGGAGGATATATTTGACATACATTTATGAAGTTGCTACTTATTTTTAAGTGTTCTTTTGATGTAATTGATGTTC